GCTTGTCACAATGACTGATTACTGACAACTCAATCTCCCACAGAAACACAGAGGTGGCTCCTGTAGTGCCTTCCCTCGTGAGTCACAGGCGTAGAGGTTGGCGGTGTCCTTGGTAACCACAGGAGACCTCCCCCTGAGCCATCAGCTCAGCTGGCGGTGCGGCTGAAATCAAATGACCTTTTCACCGCAATTTACATCGAGTCATTCTCTTCTCATCACATAAAACAAACTAAGGGGACATTCTCCACCATCCAGCTTTTACTTAGACCCCAAGATACTTAAGATATTGTCATTTACTTTTAATGCAGCATTAAGCATCACGAGTCATAAAAAAGCATGGATAATTCTCTCTCCCAACTCATGCATCAGCAGTTCATGTGTAACACCTACAAGTCACGACTCACACTGAGCTACACGCACACAAACACTCTGACACAATCTTTTAAGTGAAAATTCCAGCTTCTGGTGATTGGGGCTTTACCCATCTCCTCTGTCGGAGTTGAACTGCTTAGCAGGAACACAGCCTTAGGGGGGAGGATATTCAAACCACTTGGGCTAACTGTATCTGCCATTTGCTCCTTCACATTAACAACCACTTAAGCATTTAACTTTCTTGGTAGTTCCCTAGACCATCGCAGCTAGCTGAGTGTGAAATGATTCATGCTGTGCACAGCCTTTCTTGATGCCGCTTACATGTCTATGAATGTGTGCAAGTGTGTCCTTCATTTGTATCTATGACAAAAAGGAATTTGTCTTCGCGGAGAGCTGGAACATCCTAGTCTTTGCCAATCATATCTCTCTCTCACACACAGCGCAGTGTGAAGTGAACATATTAATGAGATTCAGTAGTAATCGCTTTTCTTACTTTAAAGTGAAGAAACACTATAAATTAGCTGAAATGAAATGGCAACCCTCAAAGATACTGAAAGAAGTGAAGAAACTTGAGTTGCTATGATTCAGACTGTGTAGTAAGTGAAAATAAATCTGAAGGTTTTTAAAATAAACTATGTGACCCTAAATGAGCAGCACGGCTGAAGGACAGGTCCAGTTTGGCTCGTTTCCAACACTTTGGATCAACAAGCTTACCACCTGCTGATGGCCTTGCTGATGCTGAGAAAGAAAATAGAACTAAACAGAGCCCACCCTCCAGCGTGTGTATGATCAGGCTGATAAATCCAGCAGATGAGAGTGTCTGAAAATATGGGGGCACTTTGCCACATGACCGCTAGAAATGTCATCCAGTTTTGTCTTTCACTTCGTTGGCTATATAAATATGATTATCCTACATTAAGACCCTGCAGTAAGGACTGATACGGAGGAGACACATAGCTTTCTGCAAATGCCGTCCAGAAGGAAACAAGGGCATTTTAAGAAGTTAACCTGGAACAGAGGTGCGTATGCATCAGCTGTTTTTGCCTTGAAAGCTTGAAGCTGCTGTGCAGAGGTCTCGCTGTAACTCTAGGCCTGGTACAGCTTAAATTACAGATGCAGTTCAGTTACAAAAACACAGCAGCAGAGCCCCAAGAGGGCCAGGCTGAGAGTCAGATGCACAATATGGTACCCAAATAATTGTGGTGGCAAAACATTTATAAAAAACAAAACAAACAAAAAAAAAAAAAAACACTGTCTTTGTACCCAGCTGAAAAGAAAAAGAAAAATTTGACACAGGTGTGCTCCTGACAACTCAGGTATTTCCAATGGAGAGAAAATGCCCCAGCAAGTCCCAGGTTTATTTTTGCCCTCCAGATCGACATAAACAGACACAGTAATGCTGAGGTGAGAGAGAGAACAAGAGGCAGACTGAATGTCAGCACAGTGGCTTAATTACTGTCTACATCTCTCTAGTGAGCATTATTCCCTGACATTCATCCCTTCTTTTCCTGTTACAAATCCTCTTCTACACAAGAGCTAGACTCACTTTTTTATACACTCTGTAATCCCTGTGATAAATTATGTTTATGTTGTAATCCATGCTGAAAGGCATTTTATGGTGTCATTTTTGAATCTGACTTATTGCACACTTACTAACAGTATAAATGTAGTATAAAGTACAGTACAGCTGCCTAACGCCCCGTCTGTTTTCCTTCTGACTGCTCAGGTTAAAAACAACAAGCAGAAACCCTGGCGACATCATAACAAAGCGTTGTGATAAAGCACAGACACCCATTTTTAAATGCTTCTAGAGTTTGGTAGGTGATAAAGAAAGAGCCTGGAGAGAGCAGCAGTGTGGCTTAATAAACAACTCTGGACACTCCCATTAGTTAGGCAGTATATATATCTCCTGTAATAATCAACCAGGTGTGGCAATAAACCCCACAAAGCCAGCTTTCTGCTCTGTCTCCTGCTTTTGTTTGCCTTCTCAAAACAGCATCCACAAAGAGACGTTTTCTGTAAATGGTTTGTTATCTTCGGCTGCGTCAATCCAAATAAGAGTCTTCAGTGACAATGTTGTGAGTGACAACAAGTGCCTGGTTGTTGCTTGTTGTGTAAGCTCTAGTCATGCCTTACTGACCACGTGACACTGTTGAGGGCATTGTGGGAGATAGAACACCTGCATTTAATCCCACCACCATTAAACTGGAGCAAATTTAAAAAGAAACAACGCATTAGACGCCTGAAATACTGTTAAACTATGCATAGTACTGTATATTTTAAATGTGGTTATTAATAGAAAGGTTATATCTTTTTACACCTAATTTTTTCATCTCCCATGAAAACGATCACTTTTTAAAATGTCGACTGTTCCTGACATGTCCAGAGTAACAGAACAAAGTAGAACACGTTGTTCTTTTAAAACACACCCCAACAAGAACATGGTTATTTATAGAGTGGGGGGGGGACGGGACACCTGATGGCCCCAGTCTCATACACTTTCCACCTGTGTGACCTTCGCATGGTCTTTGGTGACATTGTCATCTGTCATCACAATGTGTCTGGATATTTCAACACTTTCCAATAGTCAGGCATTGGGGATTCATCTGATTTATAAAAAGGTGGATCTGCCTGGCCTAGACCTCAACACTGTCAAAATATGCAGCATAATTTAGAAATATCTACAATGACATCATGGAGGACTGACACACTCAACACCAGGCTTTGTTTTATTAACAAGTGTTACAGGTTTTCATTTTCTTCCAGGTCTTCAAACTCCAGACAAAATGAAATCTCTACTGACAATATTATTGTGCAGATTTAATTTTGTCCTGACAATAATAGTTATTGTCAGTATTACTTTTCTCCAAGAAATCAATGACTACTAGTTTTTTTTTTTATATTCAACAACAGCTTTCCAAGTCAAACCCTTTATCGCCAGTATTCAGGCTTAAAAGCTACTCTTTCGGGGATTTTAGTTGTAAAAATGCTGTTGAACCACTTACAAATTTCATCAAGCTATTAGCTATTCGGCTAACACTTCTTTAGTTGGATTAGCAAGGTGATTTATGAAGTAAAGAATGGCAATAGCACCGATTTTATCATAAAAACACACAGTCAAAGTTCTTATTTAGCAGGGAGCCTACTTCGTTTGAACAGAGAACAGCCTACTAACGAAAACCTGCTGCACTACCAAAATGAACGCACAGTGTGTGAAGTAGCCTTTATGTCGCATCACTGTTGAGAGGAGCAGCGATGAAGTCAATTCAATGGAGCTGCAGCTTTTCTAACTGAGCCGCTCAATGAAGTAGGAGTGTTTACTCCCCAGGTGTTTTAACATTTTTTTAATTGACACAATGTGCTCGTTTGTCGTTTCTCACGGTGATATCAGACAAGAACGATGACATACAGACGGTACAGTCGGCACCGTGAACAGGTTGGGAAATCCGACGAGCTAAGATAATCTCCTGTGGCATGGGGAACATCTGCAAATGGTAAATGGTGAATGATAACACGAAAACACGGATGGAACACTTACCTTTTCGGTAAAATAAGTGTCCGGTGGGTCCAGGCAACTCTTATCCGGGTATTGTGTTTAATATCAACGGTAAAATGAACGTAGAAGTACACAGTACACACGTCTCCTGTCTGCCGCTTCCTCTGCCTCAACTAGTATTTCGATGTGACTATGGGCGGAACTACACGCTGCGTCGCAGACACCGCGAGGAGCCAATGAGAGGAGGCGGTACTCAACACAGAAGAGAGGAAGGCAAGAGGTCTCACTCTGCTCCACAAAATGAGAACGAGACTGTGTTAATCAAAAACGGGGAAACGAGATTCTTACCGTGTTTGCCGTGGAATTGTCAAGTGTATTTAAATAAAAAGCATAGCATAGCGTTTTTCTCTGACAGCCATTATGACCGAGCTGTCTAGGTCTCGCGGAAAAAAATAAAACGAGGTACGATACAGAGCATCACGTCTAATAAACGCCCACTCTAAAGAGGGGGAGGTTAGAAAATTTCGTTCTTCAGAAGGTATCAGTTTTTATATTCACGTTTAATTTTTTGAAATAATGGGCCTAGTCAATGTTTGGTCATATTGCTCTGTTCTGTGGTACAGGCTAAAAAATTTGGAGATTAACTGATTTGAATTTCCATCAAGTTTCTATTGCAATCTGATTATGTAACCCCACAAATCTGCTATCCAATGAAATTATATCACATCAAAGTATACGCGAATCTCAGTTTTCTTTTTTTTCCAGCCAGGAAAGTCCCGCTTGGCCACAGGTTTTCAAATTGCAGTTGATACTGCTGGCATAGTTTTGTCCATTCTATTTTACAATAGAGCAGTCCATGAACAGATCCTTTAGAAAACATCAGGTTGGGTGCCATGTTCAGGGACACCTCAGCAAGACATCAATTAGCTTTCTAAATGTCTGTAAACACTCAGTCACAAGGTCATTCCTCAAACATTCAGTCTAATGCTGTCCCCAATTTCCATCTAACTGTGTAATGGCTCAAATCACCTCAAAAGGGCGTTATGGATCGTCAGAAGACCGTTAAAACCATTTTTCTAAATACAAGCATGTCAGAGATAGAATGAGAAAATAGCCAAGATTTTGTCCACAGTGAGTATTAACAATGACTTTATTTATGTACCAGCAAATGTTTGCATTGTTTTTACATTTCCCTGCATCTAAGCCAGACACTTACAGTACTGAAGCATACAATATCTGAATTTGGAGAATATTTGATTAACATATTGACAACCAAAATAGTGTAAAAGAAAAACTGAAACAGAGACAGAGAAAAACTAATTGACACGTCTTTTAGGTATTATTTGTAACTTACAAAGTAAAAGAAACTAGGTTAAAGAAAGACAAGTCCACATTACAGTTTTCAGCAAAAAATAAGTCAAGTGCTAGAACAACAATGCAAAGAGTAAATTGTAGAAGGGGAAACAGTCCTGACATATATAGATTAACTGATAAAACCAGTACAATAATGAGGATTCATAGAAAAGAAGCAATACGCTTAAGACAAAACAGAAGTCACACTTGACACCGTCTGAAACTGAAAATAAGATGCCTTTGATTCCAGACAAAAATAACTTCACAGTGTAGTATAAAACAAACTCTTGAGTAGATCAAAAAAAGACGCATTTATTTAAACAGACTGTTGGACAGTCACATTACATACAGGAAATCTTCAAGTTACTGTCTGACCACACCTAAAAGTGAGAGTTTTTATGCAGTATGGCATGACAAGTTACAATAAACTTCAGTTTGGGACATTGTAACACAGAAACAGCAACTCTATGAAAATGTTGCTAAGAGGCTGTGTATGTTTTGGAACTCAATAGCTATATCGGATATAAAGCTTCTGCATGTAAAGGAACCTTTAGCGCTAGCTTCATACAGAAGGTATTCATTAGAATAAAGTTGCATGGGAACCATAGAAGTGTTATCTGGTCCTAAGGATTTTTTCCTGCGATTACGAGGTTACTTCTTGTGTTTTATCCTGATTTAAGATGCTGCTGTCCCATGAATGTTCATATAATTACTATATATGAATCTTTCTGACTGCAGCATTGTATTTCATCAAACACAATGTTTTAAAAGAAGAAACAGCAGCAGATGTCAGGTCAGAAGGAACTTGCTGAACAATCAGAGTCTTGCACTTGCATTAGGTTTGTTTCATTGCAGCCAGTGTCCGGTGTGCTTCTTAAGCGGCACTCTTTCTGCAGCTGCATTGGACTACAGCTGCGGCTGTTCTCTGGCGCCCTCATGTGGAGCTGTACAGAGCAATCTGCTGCACCTTGCCCAGCTGTGTCAGCAGCTGCTTCATGCGGTGTTTGAGCTGAGGCAGACGAGCCAGGGGCTCAGGAGGCTCCAGCTCCCCAGTGTAATCCAGCCAGCTCTCCAGCACTGAGGGGGACAAGAAGAAGAAGAACCAGAGGTGAGCTTCTAGATTTCTCAAATACACATCATCCGGGGAGTTAGATCAAATGTGTTTACATTTAGAGCTCAACAGTGAGTGGCACTATACTTTCACACAGAAGACCTGTGTTTAACCAAGCTCTTAGTTAGTGCTGCTTGATTTGGTGAAATTGTGAGATTGCGATTATAGTGGACATTATTGTGTTATAATAAAGAGGAAAGATTTAAAAACTCATCGGCCAAGAATATTTTTTACTGTCCACAATAATAAATTGTGTTTTTGTTTTACATGCACATGTCTCAGTACATTTAATGAAGTTAATCAGGCATTAGCTTGTTTTGGAGGCCCGGGTTACAGTCTGGCCGGTGGCTCTTTTCCCGCTTGTCATTCCCCACTCACTCTCCTCAGTTTCTCCTCTTTAAGAATTAGAATCATTTCTGAGGTGAAGCAGTGAAAGGACAGTGTCAGACAGACTGGTTCAGAAGTGATTGTTTGATACAGAATAGAGATGTTTTTATGCTAATTTGCAGGAGAGAGAAAAATGCAATTGGAGGTCAAATTAACTGATTATATATCTAGAAACTTTTTTTTGGTGTTATTTTAGCGACACATCTTGTACTGTACTTACAAACTGTTCATGATAAATAGTGTTCTATACTGAAAGAAAAAGCATCATGCTGACTTTTAATGATCAACCATATCACTCACTCTGAATCTTTTCCATAGAAATTTAAATCAAACGCTCTTCAAGTCTGAGTGAAGAATTTAGGGTAAAATATTTTATTGTATCTTTAAGGGATATTAGTTGCTTCATGAGTCGCAACATGAAACAGTTGACTGCAAACAAGCCTACTATTTATGCTGATGAACCACAGATATAAGCAGACATCGTGACCATTTTTAAACGAATGGTGCAAGAAACCTTCAACTTTAATTAAGTCAAGGCCAGAACCGGTCTTACCATCCAGCTCCCTCTCAATGAAGTCCATTCTGTGTGAGACCTCGTCCTGGACTGCATCTATGTGATCCAGCAGGTTGATCTGCCTCTGCTGATGCTGCTTGCTGATATCTGCAGACTCTCCAGGATCTCTTCCATCCTCTTCTCTTGTGTCAGCCTGGGACCAAGAGCCAGCCAAGGCAGCCTAGAGACATTCAGGTGACATTTTCAGACAAGAGTTTCTTTTCAACCAGGTTTTGACCTCGGTCTAAAAAGAAAATGCACATTATTCAAGTTCTCTAGAGTCTAACAACTAAAATAGATGCATATAGTTGCATCATAAAGGGTGTGATCAGCATCTGTAAAAAAAAAGCAAGTCTCAAACAACATTTAAAAAAAAAAAACTGAAACAAACTTAATTGTGTTTCCTGTGTCACTTAAATTAGGGGCAGAGGAGATGGGCTTTGCTCAACACAGACCTATAACAGCAGTGTGACGAGTTCAAGACCAGCTAATTGCATGTTCTACTGGCCTGCTAGGACCAGTTAAAACTGCCTTAAAAAACACATTAAAGTTGAAGGGCAGAAACGGCCAACAGCTTCACTGTCATCACTCCATTGAGTAGCTCAATACACTCGGACTGTACACTGGGAAATGGGTCTTACAATGGGAGATAGGTCATACATGGGGACATGGGTCGTACACCGGGACATGGGTCGTAGCACAGCTTTTCTCTCATAAACTTGTTGTGATCTTCAGAAATGATAGTTATTTCTTGTTTGGCTGTTATGTTAGCTCTTTACAGAGTCTTTATTTCATTCTAATGTTAAAGCAGTGCCAGTGTAAGTAATGCTTTACAATAATGGTTATGTTAATAATGTGGTGTTTTTCTTTGAAATTTGAATTTCCATCACAAAGAATTAAGTGTTTGTTGCTCAAAACGTCCTGGGGTAAAATTCTTATTACATGTGTCTCACTATGTTTAAATGAACACTGTATTGTTTTGGCAGGGCTAACTACTGGCAACACAGTACACCTACATTTCTAAGAGGCCTGATTCTCCTTTGCAATTATTCCCTAACTGTTGAGAATTGGGTAAGCAAACTCACAAAAAATAGTGTATATGATATAATACACATTTTTTACTCTGGGGTGAGGCATGCTGCTGCACCTTCCTGACTGGCTACTTTTTGCGACTGACTGATTACTCCATGTACCTTTGGAAAGCCCTGCAATCACAATGGACACACCATACTCTGCAAGAACTCTCAGACTTACGAGTGTGAGTCAGGGTTGACGCCTGCTCCACAGCTGTGTGATTTCCGTTTTGTATGTTCCCTGATTGAGCTGCGAAGATGTACCTCCTTGTGATGTGTTCTTTTAATAGTTATGTCCATGTTTCTCTGCACTGTGATCATTGTGTAACGATGCACCATAAACGAACCTCACGGACTAGCCGTATGAGAATATTTTTTAACATTTATTTTGGGGCTTTTTGCCTTTAATTGATAGGACAGTGGATAGAGAAGGAAGCAGGGAAGTTGGGGTATAACATGCAGAAAAGGAGCCACAAGCCGACATTAACCTGAGCCGTCCACTTGGAGGACTATAGCCTACAACCTAACTTTTAGGCCATCTGCATCCCTGAATGAAACATTTGAAAACATGAGAGGGGTTAAAAGACGTTATAAAACTTGCTGCTGATGAATACGCTTCTGTTAAAAAGAGATGAAGCTGATCAAACTGCTGTATTTAGAGAGAAGTGCAGCTGTGTGTGAATGGATGGAAAGGAAAAGGTGATCAGATTAAAGTAGTTATACAAACAATAAAATAAAGAACAAAGCATAATGCATATATAAACTTACCTACATGAATCATAATAATACCTTTATTTATTATATTACATTATATTTAAGCAAGTTAAAAAGCCCTTTAAATACAATGAAAAGGCCAATAATCAACAGTTGTTCAAATATTCTAAAACAAAAAAGGTGACTTAAGAGATGAAAGTGTGTTAGATTCCCTGATCGGGTAATTCTGCAACTTAACTAGTATTCTACCAAAAAGAAAAGGCTCGGTCACCTTAACTTTTGAGGTCTGACCGATGAATACTGTTTAATCTAGGTTGTTATGCATATGTGGCTCTGAATATTTCCAGTGGTTGTTCTATAGCCAGAAAGCAGCTTGCTCAAAACACAAGGATTAAGAACTCAATGAATTAGAAAAGCTTTTTAAATAAATTACTTTGCATCAGATCGGTTTATTTTCTTCAGATAGAGTCAACTCTTGACTGTTATTTTCCAAATCAAATGTAATCTTCCTGAGCCAGTGATTTTGAATAACCAGTTGCCCCCGAAGGCCAGTGGAGTGAAGGCCTTTTCTCAGATGGGTTTCCTATTGCAACTTCACAGTTATTGTCATGCCCTGTGTAGTCCATATAAAAAAAAACCTGTCTTTGTTGAGAGGAGAAATCCAGCCCCTTTTGTTCAAATGTGCTATGATGTCAACTTTAAACCTCTTATTATGTTGTGGGATGAGGCCTCACCTTGTAACCGGTGCCTGTTGATTTGGGTTTGTCTGTCTCCAGCAGGCTTCCGTAGCGCTGCTCCCGCTCCAACAGTTCCTCTGTGCTTCTCATGCTGTCCTCCAGCTCTGAGCCCTGTCTGGTCTCCACCACCAGCCTCTGCTCCACCGCAGGGTAATATGCCCGTGGTTTCTGATAGCAGTGTTCACTGGTAATGTAAGAGTCCTGGAAGGATGGGAACGGGAACGGGGACAGAGAACAGGACGAAGAGGAAGCGGCTGCCGTAGCAGCCCGGCTCAGCTTCTCCAGAGCATTGGACATTAATATTTCGCCACGGCTCATGTCCTCATCAGGAGTCATCGGAGAAGGAACTGCGTCACCGCTACGATATGAGTCAGAGCTGATCTGTGACCTCTCTAAATGTTTCCATGGCTGCCTCCACAGCTGCAAGTCAGGGTGAGTATTGCACCTACAGAACAAGAGAAAAAAATGAAATGCAGCTAAAATGGTTTAGTTGAAACCCTTCTCTACATCAAGTCATTTCTATCATGATCCCCTTTTCATTTCACTTCAGAAGTTGACAGTAAAACAGTCTCATGGTCTCTTGATACAATTCTTTTGTACTCACTGTAGAACGCTCATCTTGAGCTGCAGTCCATTGAGGATCTCCACCACGTGATGCACGTCTCCCAGCAGCTGGTGGGTGGTGGTGATCTTCTTGGCGTTTTGGTGAGAGTAGTTCTCTTCCAAGAAGGACAGGCCGTACATGTGTCCATTGCTCAACCACTCACGATCGTACCAGTACCGCAGACTCTGTCTCTGACCTGAAATGAACAATTTGCAATAAGATGCTCCAATGTATACCTCCCTCTCAAATTGTTAGCCGTGCCACCACTATGGGGAAGAGAGACAGCTAGGCCAACTCATAATGGGAAGTGTCGTCGAAATAGTTAGTACAACTGAAGGAGGAACAGTGGACTTCCTGATCCGAGGAAATTCCTTTGTCTGGTCTAAAATACTTTAAAGAAATAAGAACCTAATCAACTTTTGGGCAGGATATCAGAAACATTCAGAGAGGGGTAGGGGAGGAGGGGAGGTGGTGCACTGAAGGAGTTTCTTTTAGTCAAAGAGACTGGTGTGACATCTAGCGGGCCAAAAACTGTCATATACCTTCAAGCTGTCAGGTTACAAGTTTAGTTGATCATGAGTCTAACTTTAAGAGCTGGGCTATGTCTGATAGCTCAATGGTCTTCTGGTTGTCTCAGGTGCCGCACTTTTGGATTAATGGAATTATAGACTGCATTTCTTCAGGTAACTCCTACATCTTTTTCTTTCAGCTACTTACCTGGTGGGTCTCTGCAGATATAGCAGGTGTATCTGTCTGGCACGTTGTCTTCCAGAAGGCCCATGCAGGTGCCATGTTGCCAGCATAAACAATCTTCACACTGGAGGTGAAGGTGAGTATATTATATCAACACTATTGCAATCTGGCAGATTTAAAAAAAAAAAAAAGCTTGCACTATCATAAAAACCTGCTCACCTGAATCATGAAGTCATTTTCTTCCTCCACCTCGCAGATACAGCGAACAATCTCTTGGTCATTGGTGTCCACGGCACCTGAGTCGATACTAAGGGGAGGCGTGGTGACATCCAAATCAACCCCAAAGTCATCATCGCTCCACCCACAGCTGTCAGTGGACCAGTCACTGATGCTATCCTCATCTACCATAACAGGGACAAACAGAACTATTGTTTTTTCATGTGAAGGCCAGATTTTGTCAGGATTGAGCTTTTCCTAGGAATATTCAGACAAAGAGGAGACTGAATATAGCTCTAGCTCTATTAACATTCTTTAAAGCTACATGTGTCGCACTATGTGAGTTTTAATTAATATTATGGAGTAAATAATGAAGCAAGCCATAGAAGCAAAGAAAGGCCAAGGATCCAATCAACCAATGCTTAAAACCAGCTCTTAGCCAAAACAGAACTCTTTTTAATTCTGTCAGTTATTGTGATGTACTGCAAAGCAAGGTTAACACAGATCTCCCTCGGCCAGTGGTGTCCAAACTTTTTTTTCTTGCGGGCCAAAATTGTCGTGTTAGAATCGCTCACCGGCCACAGGTTTTGTTTTTTAAAATATAGTTGAAAAAATAGTAAGGTTTTTTTTTTCATAGTTTACAAAAAAAATGTGGAAAATAGTAAAAGCTGTAGATTTAAAAACAACAACATATGTTACTGAACATTTTCTATTTTAGGAATATTGTTCAGCCCTTGTTAACATGAAAAAGAAAAATAAGATAATGTGCCAATCTTAATCAAGGCTGTTCCATGACTGAGATCAACGTAGTTAAGTGAACAAGAGTTTGTCCTTCTAGACATGAGCTTGTACACATAAAATAATATGACTAACTATGAACACTGACAAGGCTGCTGGCAGCAGAGCTATATTTTTTACAAAGAGCAAACTAGAAAAAAATGAAAACTGCTCAACAGAAAGCTGGCAAAAGAGAAATCCCTAACTGTTTAAGTCTGTTGTTTTATGGGCTTAAAACATTACAGCCCCCCCCCCACAATTAGATTTATGTAACTACGTCATTTTAGATCTATTTATATGGTGAGACAGCTTAAGGCTTATTCTTTCAGCCGTAACCCAAGCTAATCTAAAAAATAAAAAAAACCTCAATGGCAAAAAAGGAATAAATATACAAACCAGATTTAAAGTAAAACCAGCTAACCCCCATACCTTGCTTTGTAGTACAGGGCCAAGGTATGATGCAGCTCAAACTAAACAAACAGCATGATGGATTGAATCCCGAAAGAGAAGAAAGATGGAGGGGAGAGGAAGCCATGTACAGTCACACACCTAAGCTACTACGCACACACCCACACAGAGGCACATATATACCCACCATCCACATGAATCTGCTCTGAGTAGCTGTATCCAGGCCTGCTGGTGTAGGCCTCGGGCTTGTGATTGTGTGAGAGGGGGGATTTGAAAGGCAAATTCAATTTGGACTGAAGACCCAATACTGAGATGTCAATATTCTCCTCACTACCTGTGTAGTCTGTTAATACATGGAAGGGGGGGAAGCAGATGTAAAACAAAATGTCAACTTTGAAAATGCTAAACAAAAGCCCATCAGGAGGTTACAAACTGTGGCACATCATACTTTGACATATAATAGACTCTTTGAACAGGCTGGAAAAATGAATTTGATCAATTCATACTGGCCCGTGTTCTAGGCTTCTTTAAGTAAACCAACGTGGAAGGGTAACTGAAATATCTGTGTGCATACTAAACATAAATCTAAATGCTAACTATGAATTAGGATTTAAAAAATAGGATTTGTGTTTGGATTTATCAACATCAGAGCTGGAAATAAATCCTAGCTTTGGGTCACCAGCTCTGCCTGACTTGTCCTGTATGAGAGCAAAAGCAAGCCATGAAGTACGAAGATGAGCCGGAGCTTTTTTGATTGGCATAATAGAGTGACAAAGACCAGCGACAGATGTGACACTTCTCCCACACACAAAGGCTCAGCCACCACACCAAGAGGAGTGAATGGAGTACTTTATGCTTTGCAGGCTAGTCGTTTTCACAATGTCACAGTAAGTGCACATGCAGAGCGGCAGATACGTGAGGGGGCCTGATGCCAGGGACCCCTTCTTACCAGACTTGGCCTTCTTTTTCTTCTTCTTGTTCTTTAGCTTGATGCGGAGGAAGTCCTTCTGTTTCGGTTTCTCTTTCAGTTTCTCTTTTAATGAGCCTGGAAACAAAAAAGTGCCAAGAGTTAAATCTTGTCTATGAAGGGCTAAGACGGCAGATAAGTAACTATTCAACATGCTAATGGAGCAGCTAGAAAAAGACCGTGAACCCTAAAGGCTCTATGGCTGCTTTCACACATTCACTGCACTTCTGAAAATGTCCCATCATTGTGCGGCTGGGGTGGATATGTGAACGCACCAGAACAGAACATGCTGGTCAATCCGACTTAATGTGGACTTTCTCCTGTTGGTCAAATATCCTCATTAATTCACAGTGAGCTGATGTGTGAACTGAGCAGGTTATAGCCTGGAACATTCACTCAGAGTGAATGGCCAGGGTATTTTAATTATTTACTGAATTGTTTCCCTGTAATTTAATTCAAAAATTGAAACTTTGATATATTCAAGATTCATTAGACAAAGTGAAATATGTCAAACCTTTTTTGTTTATATCTTGATGATTATGACTTACAGCTCGTGAAAATCCCCCAAAAACCGGGATCTCAAAATATTACACAAGACCAATAAAAAATAAGTATGTTCATTTATTTACTGAACACCTGGTTGGGGTGCCTTTTGCACACATTACTGTATCAATGTGGCGTGGCATGGAGGCAATCAGCACTGTGGAACAGAGGTGTTGGAAGCCCAGGTCGCTGTCATAGCGACCTTCAGCTCGTCTGTTTTTTTCAGACGCGCTGAAGGCCGTCAGATAAACTCCCACAGTGAGGTGCAATGTGCGAAAGGCAAGTTCCTGAAAAAAAATCAGGATCTAAGTGTCCTGACATGATTGAGCATTCATGTGTGAAATAACATCATAACCTACATACAGGCTTAATACTGACCAATGTCAAAGCCGCCCCTCTCTGAGTCCTTATACAGCTGATGGCATCCATTCCTGTCCAGTTGGTTCTCCTTGCTCTTCTCCCTCAGCAGTGCCCTCTGCTGATGGCCCTGAGTGTTGACGAGAGGCGGGGCTGATGTGCGTCTGCCAGCGGTCTTCACTTCACCGCGGGGAGCACCAGGAGCTCCAACAGAGTCTTACAAAGATCACAGAACAGGGCGAATATAAACTGAAAGTTCTGATACTGAGGTGATGGAAAGTTTGACATCCACATCACTGCCTTGATTTATGTGACTGCCTTAATTTATGTGATCTCAAATTAATGAACATAATGATGAGGATTCCTTTTATTTTGTTGTAGCATACCATGCACTTGGTTTGATCATTGTAGGAGTAGCACATGATCTAATTTCAAATCAAACTCTTTTCCTTCGATGAGTCAAGAGGGGTACTCACGCATAGAAGCAGAGATGGTCCGCCTTCTCTTAGGGCCATCCATACCAGTAACCTGTTTGTCAGAGGCCCTGGTCTGGACATTCCTGGTCGGGCTACGCTCCCCCTCTAGAGGCTGCTCCTCACCATGATAGTATTTCATATGATAGTGCAGCAGCTTGGCCTTACGGAATGACTTCGGGCAGCCAGGAGCGCTGCACTTAAACGGGTTGTGGTCCAGGTTGATGGACAGGACGGGGGGAGGTTGATTTTTGATCACACGGTACACTGAAACAAAGAAGAATATATTTGACTTCTGAACAGGAAGTACATCAAAGAACACAAGTGATGACTACATCTCTTCAGTAAAGATATAAATTGTACTCACATGGTTCTCTGCTGAATCTGTTGGGGTTGTGGAAACCCTGTTTCCTTACCGCTATCAGAGAGAGAAGAAAGACTTCCATTAATGTATTCCAGTCATGGACATATTCAAAGATTATATGTGAAATCAACCACATGTCACATGTTTTCACGACACTGCAAATCACAAAGAATCCTGCTAATTAATTCCTTAACACTTACGTTTCACAGGTTGGGGAGGTGGTACATCTGCTGAAGCCTGTGAGCTCTCCGATTGGACAGTTGGCTTCTGCTCCACACTTCCACTGGATTCGTTGGTTGTCATAGTGACAGACACCTGCTCTGACTGTGCTGACAACTGAGAATGCGAATCTTTGTATGGCTTGGGCAAGTCTATATATGGCTTTGTTTCACTCCCATCTGTTTCCATCTCCTCCTTCTTCACCTCTCCATTTACATGGCACCTTTCCTTGTCGTTCTCAGGGTCTTCTTCAACCTTCACCCCGTTAGTAAGTTCTGTCTCCTTTTGAGGATCCCTGGGTTTGTTCTGGTCTGCCTGCTCTGGCATTTCTTCTTCTTGTTTTATATTAGTTGAAGCCTCCAGCTCACCATTTATTTTCTCTTTCTTCTCGTTAACTACTCTTTCTTCTCGCTCCTCGTCCTCACTGTTGCTCTCCTCCTCCTGGTCGGAGGTGCTACGTCTTGCTCGCTTGTTCTTTGGACCTCCATTCTCCTGGAGCCTCCTGTCTCTGCGGTTTGGGGCCCTCCTGACCATGTTCCTTTCAGAGGATCGGGACTTCCCTCCACAAACACCACCTCTCTGTCAGCAGGACAAAGAAAGAACAATTGGGAAGCAAAATAAGAAAATGGTCCTCCAGACATGATCGATGGAGGGTGATCGATAGAGACAATGCCAGACAGTATGTATACAAGATACAAGATAGTTAATATCATATACCTCTTTAATAAAAGGCTTCACGTGTATCCCCTTTACTGTTTGGATAACGCCATCGTAGAATTTCACAGTGTAGGATGCTGAGGAGAATAAAGAAGAACTCAATGAAAACATGTCAAAATGCCATATTGACAAAATTGTAATAGAGACAAAATCCTGAAACACCAAGTGATAGTAACATTAATTTGGTCTTAAGTAAGCCAAAATGTTGAAACAAGTGCAAGCTTCTGATCTGCTTTAGGATAACAGTCCATTTTGGGATCGATTTGCTTCATTGTTCTCACATTCTTTTCGAGGTATTCCCAAGTTACAGTTAGACACACTATACCAATGCAAAACATCTGAGTTCCTTGATACCCACCATCTTTATTAACAGAAATGACTTTAGCGGGGTAGAAACGGCAGTCGGACCAACTGGCAAGGACCTTGTCATTTACATGAAAGCCCTGGAGAAAGGACACAGATAATCAATCAAATCAAGTAAAGTAGATCATTATCCAAAGCTCAAGGGAGGTTAACCTTTTAAATGCTAACAGAACTATCATTGTTATTACATCTGACAATGAATGACAAGAATCAATCAGGTAAAAGCAGTCTATACTCGTTTACATAAAACTCAAGTGTCATGGTTTAACTGTTTTCTCTTCCAGATGGACTGATATGTAACCCTTTTGCTTTTAAGAAATACACTGTGGAATAAAGGATAATGGGACACAAAATAATCCAGAAGTGGGATGGCATTCCCATCTTCTTTATGCAAAATGCTTACAGGTATGGGAGCGTCGTCTTGCAAACCTTGCCGCCTCAGCTGAACTCTCTCAACGGGTCTCAGGTAAGGACTTGTCCAGTCAAACCACTCGTCGTAACGGTGGCTCCACTGTCGGTAATGGATAAGTACTTTTTCACCTTCGTAGTCAATCTTTTCTATGTTGGCAGCATACCTACAAGATATATAAAATACAATATGTGTGTTTGGGGAGTGAGAAGTTAAAGGTCTTTATATTTTTTTATCTTAAACATAATCATGGTGGAAAACTGTAGAAATGTATCTTGAGAAAGCCAAACATAAATACAATCAATCAACAACACTTTGAACTTCAGACGGTAAGCTGGGGGCACTCCTTGATATTAACATGGTTCTGTATTGTTTTTACTTTTATCGATTACATTACCAGTAATGCATTTACTTCCTACATTTTAGGAGCTGAACTTATTTGTTGCAAGATGACAAGTAAGAGGAATTCCATAGTCCTTTCTCAAAGGCTGCTCACACTGTTGTGCTTGTGGTGCAAATGTCACATGGTGTTTGTAGTCATCTTTGATTGGGTAACAATGACACTTCTGTTTTCTTTCATTGGTTTATCATAACCATTACAAAAACACATAATATAATCAAACTGCACAGATTAGCTTTAATACTTTCTATCATATCTGGTGAAAGGCTGCTTAGGACCACACACCCATTATAATCTATTTCTTTGCAAATGAACAGTGATACATTTAAAGGTTTAAAGTGGCTTTCCTCACCCTTGCCTCAGTCTCTAGAGTCTAGACTATAGAGAAACTGACCCAGGTTCAAAGAGGAGCGAACTGTGGGGCTGAAGGCAGTGAACGGTCACTGGGATGGAGAGGAATAAGCGAGGCCATGACTCACCAGTTTTTGAGGCTGTCTCTGGCCTCAAGCTGAGCTCCAACCTCAAATGAAATCCCTCTTCTGGTAGGGGGCGTCTTACTCATACTGCTCACATCAAGGCTCTCTCCTGTGAACGCACGCACAGCAAAGCGAAAATATCTGTCAATAACACACACTGCAACGAAAAGTATAGTCATGGCCTTGTGTAGAAGACTGACAAACATGTATTGTTGTCTATCTAAGAACACATGTGACTACCAAGGTCTTGGCACACAATTACGCATATGGTCCTCTCATTTTTTTTTTTTCAGGTCATCGCCAACCCTTATTTAAGCAGGAGATTTGTGGGAGAAAACAAACACTTTTCACAATTTGAGTAGCAATTTTGGTGTTAAGGAGTAAACCTGCCACTTCCACAGTTTTTGCTCATAAAGAGGAGATGTGTTGCCAGTGAAAACAGTTGCAAGATTACACTGTGAAATATAGCGCAACACAGTATGAAGCAGCAAAAAAAATGGACCGACAATTTAGCTTTGACTCCAAAAAGGAGATTTAACTAACACAAGTTCAACGATCGGGGTTCAAACCATGAAGACCTAGCATTGATTAATATGAGGATATTACATGTTGCTTTATTAAATAGCAGTACCATTCGTTCCCAATCAAACAGAGTACAAAAGCATACGGTAGAAAACTAACAGGGCTTGTCCATAGCTTCCTGCTTTGAGCCCCACCAGTGGAAGATTATGCAATCATGCACCAACCCTAATAGTTGACGGATTTACTGTGTACATGTTCGCTTAAATTGGCGGTTTCTCTATGCAGTCCCATCGATCACAGACGCGTGGTCTGCTGCTTCAGTCCCCTGGCTTTAGGAGCTTGGTGGAGGAGGATAATCTTTTGTGCTACACAGGAAAATTCCCACCCGCTAACAGCGCCTCGTTAGTCGAGCGTACAGAATCAAGAAAACCGATGAAATCTGCGCATGCTATTACAAAAATACACGATTGCATTAAAGGCCAAAGCGTCTTACTTTTGTCCAGATTTCAGCTGAATCGGGATACCATCGTGAAGACGGTCTAGAGTTGTAGGGTTGCAGAGTGCAACCTACAAAACCGGATATCTCTACACAGCTCGGCCCACGTGTTTTCTTGTCAGCCGAGCCCACGTACAGACACAATAGGAGACAATGGCACAGGCGTTTCACACCAGCTTTTTTTCTGCTTTTAGATACTCATTTCGGTACCGACTCACGAACGTTATCCCGTTCAACAAATAACTACATTTTGAAGAAAATTTGACGTTTTAGTTCCAATAAGAGAGTGACGGACCACGATAGTGAGACAGGCAGGGCGCAGACAGACCCAGAGTTAGTGATGCAAAAAAAAAAGGAGCGAGATAATGCGCAGTTATTATCAGAATAAATTCCATGTTAAAGGAAACATGATTTGATATCACTTATTGTTGTTATACAGAATAATTTACTTAAACATTTATTGAACAGCTTCCGCCATCCTTATGATTTTTTTTTTTTAATCAACCACACATTCAGTACTGAAATTACAACGACAGCAAGTTGTGTAGTAAGTTTATGATGCATTTTAAATAACTTCTGCAAAAAAATAACGCTCTATTGTCCGGTGTTTTATAACCAGTGTGCGTAGCGCGAATGAAACCATCATCTACGTCATTACAATGGGCCCATATGACTGGTTGGAGCATCCTGGTTCAGTGGGATTCTCGCATCTGATTGGCCGTCCAGCTGTCAGTCACATAGCTGTCCGGGGCCTCACGCTAGGCCTACTTTATAGTTTTCCTGCTGCGAACGAGCGGCGTGGAAATGCAAAGCATTAAACTTCTTGAACTGACAAAGACAACACGCGTTTGTTGCGTAACTAGTTGAAAAGCCTACGTCACAGCAAAAACAAACCGGTAATCACAGAAACAGAGGTGTGAAGACATGATATATTATTTCTCTATTCGTCACATTTGTTTTGAACTCAAACGCCGACATGCGGCACCATGCCATATACGCTGTTGATGCATACACCACCTAATTCGCAACGTTACAAAAAAATATTAACTCTTACGGGAGGCTGGAGATACAATTAGGCTTCCTACCTGTTCTCCAATCACTCTTGGTCCGGTTTGTAAACAATTATGCGACGTAATCCCTTTAAATTGTGGGTACCGCCGCGTCCGCCTCTTCTGTGTACTCCAGATCACGCAGTTGAATTTCTCCTAGATGCATTCACCACCGGCGCGGGCAGTGTGGCGCTGCACTACGCATGCGCGGACATAGGCTTCAAGTAATTATTATTTACCAGCTGTATTTTTAAATTGTGTTGCTTTTTGTCACGTTTATGCATTTGTAGCAAATACATTAGTGTGCCAAAGCAATTTATATGTGTTTTATAAAAACCTATATGAGCATCTTGAACACACAAACTAGTGTCTCCCTTGTCATATTTAATAACGACCAAAATTAGCCTATTATTACTTGATTTTGAATAGCCTATCTTTACATTTGGATCCATTGGCCTTAGTAAGAGCCCTGACCAAGTTACAAGTCACTGAGAACACCCATCCAGAGATCACTGGGATTATAGCTCCACCCTCTGTTCATCCAAAACAACTAGGTCTACTGTTGTTTATGAAGATGACAAAGCTAAATTCAGTTAGCATGCAGGCCTTCTTGTTATTTAAGTTTTTCTGCAATTTAAGACTGGTATGACTACCTTACTTATTGTGATACAGTTAAAGACCAATACATACTCTTAGGTCCCCGTACTTTATGGCCTATGTATCTCTTTATCTCTATTCACTCCAATTTTAACAAGTTAGGCCTAATTGACTTCCTTTTACTTCATGAACAAAGCACCATTAAACTTCCCAACATGTAAAACCACTCATTTACAAGTGTAAGTTCTCTTCTCCTGTTCTCTTGTGTTTCACACAAGCATGATTATAATGGGATAAGCACATGCTACAGCTGATATTGGAGGATAAAAACTTGAAATTAAGAAATGTAACACAATATAAATATACAAATTTACTATCAGTAGCTACACTAAAAATCCCTTTACCTTACTGTAAGACGCTCTACCCTACTACAGTGGTTTTGTACAGGAAAAACAGACAGGCCTATTTCAGCACTCTGTATAAATGCCTGGTGGTTTTGTGGTTATACTGATTGAAAATGCAAACGGCTATTTCCATGCCTTCGGTCATTGAATGGGATTTTTAAGGGAGGGGAGGCTGTCATTTGTTTGTTTCTCCTCTTCTTCTGTAATTTGTTTGCCCTGCAGGCAGAGGTCTGCTGTCATGGTTACAGTTTCTAGCTAGCCTTTCACCAGAAGCAGGCCATAGACATAGGTACATGATTGTTACAAAGTGGAATTTAACAAGTGGCCATTGTCCAGTCCAGTGTATATGCTGATAACTTTGATGCTGTAACAGCAGGGGGAGCTCTGTTGGCCAATCCTTCCACCTGCTTAGTTCCAAAGGAATAAGAATTTTGTCTCTCTGTACACTTTGCAAGTGCATGTTTTGAGTTATACATGGGGATTGAGATTGACATTCAAACTGATTTTTGCCATTAAGCAAACATTTGATTTACATCGCTCATTCAAAACCAAAAATATATATTATGTTTATAAATACAGGCCACAAGGCAGCAATGATCTTATTATTTTAAGATTACTGCACCATACACACATTTATTAATCTATTTGGACCGAATAAAGATTCATCTTCATTCAAGATACTGGGACAATAAATGATTTTTTTTTTATTTTTACTATTTATTAATTTAAATTTATATTAGAGATAATAAATCATGCAATTTACTAATACATTTTAAAATATACATGGTAAAAAACATATATTTCTGTAAGGAGTTTGAACCCTCATTTACACTTCATACGATATATTTATTCCTAAAAAAATTATAACGTTATGCATTGTTGCCAACATATAAAATATATATATTTTTTTACATACTTTATTTATCTCTGGAAATTCTAGTTTGACACTGTTGTTGAGAGACAATGCTTCTGTGCCCTGCATGCCATGTCATGTCATGCCATGTCTATTGAGCACATCATGCTTAAATAATATGAAGTGTTCAATTGATTTATGAAGTGCATTTTTTCACTTTCCGTGCATGCAGTCTTGGTTGCATACGGTCCTTAACTTCCTGTTTCCTTTCTTCAACACTGTCAAAAGAAGGCAATCCAGTCTACAATCAAACAAATCTTTATTTATGGACAGCCATTCAATATTACAACAAGAAGGTATGCAAACACACAAACACACACATGGAAAGTGGTTTGTATCAGTCCTGTATTCAAAAGGGAGGCGATTACAGCAGAGAAATAACAGTTAATTACAAAAACACCTTTTATTGTTATTTACAGCAACATTTAACTTCACTCTCAACACAGGCCATTAGAATATTTTCAAGGAGACTTAATACTATTTACACTTATAATTTATTTACAAGGGAGAAGCCTGAGACAGGACTAAATAAGATGCACAAAAATTCTCATATAGTGCTTGGCATTTAAAAACTCAGTTCAGGTGTTTGTGTCAGATTTATAATGTTTTTCTGTGAGGGAGGTCATGTACATTATAACAACCAAAACACATTTGTTTTTAATCAGACCTGAGCTAGAGAAAATACAGACCAAAAAAAGAAGAGAACACAATTCCACTGATGACTTGTTGATAATAATGAGACACAGTCTTATCAGTTGAATAACTGACACCCACATAACTTGTGAAAAACTGTAATAACACTCTTGTCTTGTTTCACTTGAGTGTTTTTTTTTTTTGTCTTTGAAATGCTTCCATCCATCACTAAGAGCTTTTCTGAACTTCCTATCAGCTTGTGCTTTGAAATGACGGCTCTGTATCAACACGACTGTGGTTGTGCGGCTTCTTGTGTCGCAAACTGACCAGTATCAGTTCAACTAATCAAAACAGCACAGGCAAGTTTATTAACGAGACAAATACAGAAGTTTGCATTTAGTCTCAAACATAGTCTCAAACTTCTTTACTTTGAATATTTTCAAATGTTCTGTACATGATAGATAAATGCTGTCTTTTCGTTCACACTTAACAATCATATACCCACACAACACACACTCCTGAATGAAACCAAAGATTTTAAAAAGCTGAGCTTCAAACAATATTGTTTTTTTTTCTTTAATGTGCAAGTAAATATTTATTAAGTAAATCTGCACTCTCAGTTTACTCAGCTTGTTGTCCAATTAAACCACAGTAATACCCATTTGGTAAGACATGAAAAAGTAACTCTGTTTTCACATGCAGCAGTTACCACTGTATTTTCATCTAAAAACACAGTGAAACCTAATCTATTGTGTCTTTCATTCTGAAAGTAAGTAAGAAGAAGGGACCAAAGTCCAAGCTGTGTTCTCACTCTTTGTGTTGTAAGAGGTGTTATATATCACCTCATGAGTTTCCAGTGTGGTCTGAACAGAAACAGTGTTTATGCATGATTGTAAATGTGTAATTGGAGAAGCTTGTGTCCTGATTCAGCACCGAGAGGGGGGCTCTATGGTCTACAGTGTCTACACAACCCCTTCGATGAAACTGGTGTCCAGGTGAACAATGAGCATTCTCAGGAAGGACATCTCCTTGCGTGTGTTCTCAAAGATGACACGTGGATCATCGGACTGGCATCGAAGGCAGTTGGGCGCCATCACCATGGCCAGGTTGTTCACATCCATCTTGGTTATAGCCACGTTAGATGGCTGAGCGAATACCTAGAGATAATCAGGGATGGAAAAGAACAGAAAGCAATGAGCAAAGCCGAGTGTACAGACTAACTTTTTACCTTCAGTGAGTAATATACGAGTCATATTCAGTTATCTAAGAGCTCAAATAAATTGGTATTTTAAATTGTGGATTTGTTTTGAGTAATTATTTTTGCTATGTTTGTGTTAGTTACATGTATATCAATGGAGCTATTTGGATCAATAGAAGACAATACTGACATAATCAATATTCTTCATAAAAATGTCAAATTTTCAGAGCTGCTAAGAGAAAAAAAAAAAAAGACAGGGTTTTACATTTGGACAGATAGCCATGGTGGTGTTGAAATTGGCACCCTGGTTTGGGTGACTTTATAACACTGTGTTTGTGATGATTTGGAAATGTTGTTTACCTGCAGGAAGTGGATGAAGTAGCAAAGCACCAGCCTGTTAAGATCAGGCAGAGACTGAACCACGGCGATTGCTGCCACTGGGTCATCACAGTTATTAACGCACTGCTTGTAGAAGTTCATCGGTATGAGAGGTTCCTCAAGCTCTCGATACCAGAGCTTCATCAGAGATGCTGAACAAGAAAAAGACACAGCCTTAATTTTAACATTCACACCCATCATATACATGCAGACACAGAAACAAAGAGCTGATTATTTGGATTACACAGTTCTTTCCTCACCAGGAACGTTGGGGTCAGAGAGATTCTCTGGGATCCTCCACTGGTCTACCTGGAGCTTCAACGCGTTCACTTCGTCGATGTCTCCTGGCACTCTGAAATAAAAGAAATCACTTCAGTTACACTCAGTAGCCACAAGATGGAACCCTAACTCTACTATTACATATTATCCATGTCCTGTGGCATTTTAATTACTCCTGCACACCCTATTGACTTTGAATGTGGCCTGTTGGCTGAAAGTACCATGCTCTTTGTAAGAAAACAAAAAGATTATTATAAGATTGTCTTCAGGAAGGTCCACAAGTACAGCTAAAATTTTCAGTGAGCTTCGTACAAAGTAATCTTGACCAAGAGGACACTTCTCTAAATAAACCTAGATGCTACAGAATTAAAGTTTCAAGACAAAAACCCAACCCAAACACACAGTTGATGAGCTCCCTCATGCTTGTAAGCTTAAGCAGTAATGTAAACACATATTATGAAGCACCAAATTAAACAGTGCTGGTCTCAGGAGTAAAGCAGGGCTGTGTTTGTTCTGCTGTCTGTTGTGTGTATTGAACACAGGGAAAGCCTGCGTTGGAATACAGGGATACACGAGACCACACACATCTGTTTATACACACTCTTCATACAATAAAGCATAAACACACATACAGTACATAAGATCCCCTTATATTTTCCTACCCTCCACCTCTCTCACACTGCTCAAGTCGTGGCATGTAAGTGGCATAGTGAAGACTATCTTACCTGAAGATGCCCTCTGTCTGGCCCCGCCCAGAGCAAGAA